CCAGTAGGCAGTGAAAACAACTGTGACTACGATATAAGAAGACGGCTGCCAAAACAAGCGCCGTGCAGTTTTCCTTGTTCCTGCGTCTTTTCTGTTAAAAGTAGAATTGGGAATCAGGAGCAGCTGCTTAAGATCGGGCCACCATTCAACTGTGAATTGCCTTTGTCTATCGGCCACCTCAGATGCTCTCATAGTGATCGACTACAGTTTTGCTTAATAGTTTCTTTGTGACCCGAGTTGTTATGATTCTCCTGTGGAGGGGTAAGGGTCGATGGCTCGTTCGTGAGCGTTCAGGGGTGAAGAAAAGAGAATCACGGCTCTTAGCTGTCGTCACTTAGCAACCCGAAGCTCGGAATGTACTCATGCAATCTCTTATCACGGGGCGGTAACGTGTCGTGCTGTTGCTGTGTGGTCAGCATAAAAACCATGAAAAGTGTGACAATTATTCCGGCTCATGAGCTTTAGCTCGTTTGTCTAAAATCGGTAAGTCATCGTCGGTCCTCTTATAGTCGCGCAGTTGTAACTGTCTGGAATAACTTTCTATGTTGATTCTTGCAGTGTTATTGTTGCTGTTGAATGAAGTTGTTAATGTTTTGGCACAAATTCATAAAACGTTTCAGTTGTTTTGCATTTTTTTTACTTCGACGGCTCTCGTTCCGTTAGTATTGCTTTGTCATTATGCCCGATTTACTTGCCATCAAATGACATTTTTTACGAAATTTTTCCACTTCGTGTGTCATTTGTCGATATTCGCTCGCAAAAAATCAGACGATACTGTTCACATGTTTACATTGCTAGCTGAATAATGAATCATTCTAATGACAGAGAATAATTGACTCCCTCCAAGGCATTGTTCACATTCTGCGGTCCAGCGGCGGTTCGGCGAAAAGCTTTCGATACATATCGACTGGCGGTTGGGCGAAGAGCCTGGCGGTTGGGCGAAAGAGTTTTGGTACGAGTCGACGGGCGTTTCGCCAAACCGCGACGTTTTTCGCCTTCGACAAAACGCTAGCTCCATCGCGGTGGCGTTTTTCGCCAGCGAAATCGATACGCATCTACTGCTTTTCGCCCAACCGCCCAACCGCGGCGGTTGGACGGTTGGGCGGTTGGGCGATTCTCCGATCGATGACTATTTATTGCTTTTCTCCCAACGCCGTTTCGTCAGGCCTGGAGACTGTGGACCAATGCCTAAGTGTTGCAAACGCGGCGTTTAGCGCTCTGCACGCACGCAATAGTGTAGTTTCACAGTCGGTAGGTGCATCCATAGAACACTCATTAACGTAGGGGCGCACTATTGACGCCCAGTCTTCGAGCGCTCAGATTCTCTCCCTTCTCATTAATATGCATTGTACTTGTTAGAGGATATGCCTCATATACTTACTCGTTTTCTTTTCTGCTCACTCACTATGATTTGTTAGGATAGGAATGCGCCTATATTTTTGATTAAATAGTGTTTCATAGTTCAGAGGCTATGTTTAACAGACACTTTTGTTGTGCCACATTTTTTTCCAATCTACTGATTCCTTCCTCTCGAAGGAACATATGAGGAGGACCATTGCGGCAAACCAGAAGTAAGGCTAGGCTAATTTATGATACCAATGGGTGAAAAATATTTGGTTCACCCATAAGAAATGGCGATTTTTTTTCTGGTGGTTGGTTAGCCCCTTGAGCAGTGGCGGTTTTTTCTAATTCTGAAAATTTTTCATTGAAAAAAAGTCGTTCTGAGCAAAGCAAGGGGGACCCAGTGCAGGTCGCATCCTTCCTACAGCATCTGATCGGTCCTTTCTATAACTGCGCACATCCTTCCTCTCTGCTGACTCAATTCAAGAAGGAAACCAAGTTATCCCATCCATTGCATTGAAAATCCATCCCTTCGCTTCTTGTTAGCAGCCACAAATGTGTCCTTACAGAACTCTGCTTTTGTAGTTCATTGGATTGATTTTATATCATTTCCAATTCGACACTAGTTCATGGGGGGCACGCAAATTTGAGGTGCCAACGGTGTGGCAGCGGACTTTCTCTGCATAGGTGGACTCGTTGGCCTCTGAAGACGACGAATGATTCGAAAGGTTAGTCCTGATTAATAAATGTTCCACCTAACAACCTCATAAGGCAGAAGAACCAAACACTCACAATTAGCATGCCGACGCTGCAAGAGAGAAGCTGGAGAATATGTCAGTAATCTCTATCTATGAGAAACAGATGATTACAAGGGAATAATGAATGGCAGAGAATAAGTCTATCTACACCAGTCGGATCGTCCAGCTGTCGCCGGGCGCCTCCTTCTGTGACATGGACCGACTTCGCCATGTCACGAGTGAAGAGCGCCCGGCGCGGATTGCCGCGTTAAAGGCAGCGTCCGCGATCAACCAAAGTGAAAAAACCCTTCATTGAAAACGAACGCGGAGTCCACAATCACAGCAGAAATCCCACTCTTGCGGCTCGAAATCGATTGGTTGACGAGGGCGGAGTCAACAGAGCCGGGCTGACGCCTCCTCCTGTCCTGTTAATCCCGTTGACAGTTATCAATGCTTGCTGGCATTGATATACGCTGAATTTCTAGAGTTCCGAGGCGGCGACGTGTATTGGAAACTCACCAGCAGTTGGCGAACTCGTCCACATGCCTCAAATCTCATAGGGTCTTATTTCACGCTCTTCCACACCTTTTTCCTGCTTTTTTTGATTAGTGCTTCATTGGTCACCTGTTCTAGCAAATGTGACCCCTGAAACCTGCCAAAGTCCATCGCGGGCGCTATCTTTAAGTTACAGATTTGATCAACCACAGTGTTCAAAGGAATGTTCCGCATTATCCAAGAACTGAAAAGCAGCGCCCACTTATCAAGAAGCAGCAGCAGCGCCCGCCGCATAAGAAGGAGCGCCGGCGTTAGCGAGCCATCCGACGGGTACGTTCATAACCTACATAGACAGGAATAGAGCAGTCTGTTAGATCAGCCGCTGTAACATCGTACTGACTCCATTCCCCCCCCCCCCTCTAGCGTCTTGCTTTGGAATGCATTCCCGCATTCAGCAGTTGATAAGAGTGATTGAATCAAGTTTCTGCTGTTCATAACATCTCTGTAAACAAACCCCTTCATCCGGAATAGAGCTAGCTCAGCGGTCGTACATGATTCCGCTACTGGTGAGCGATGAGGAATGAGTTGTGTTGGAATCATTGAGATAGCTGTACTTGAGTCATATCGATCTCATTGCTGCTGTGAGCGGTGTAGCGGATTTTCCCATGTTAACTTGTCGCTTTCACCTCCTATCACTTCCATCACCCGCCAATAATATTCCTGTCCCATATCACTATCATATCATCCTAAATCACTTCTCGAAATCACGCTCCCGGCGTTGCTGTAATCTGCGTTACGGATTTGGTGATCATCCTCTTCCGAGACCCCTTTTCGGATCTTATCAACTGTTATCGCTTTCTGTCACCCGCCAATAATGTTCCCGTCCCACACCCTATATCACCTCCCGTATTCAAGTCCCACTGTTGCCGGAACCTGCGTTACGAATTTAGTGATCCTCCCCTTCCGAGACTCCTTATCGGATCTTATCAACTGTTATCACTTTCTGTCACCCGCCAGTGATGTTTCCGTCCCATCCCCTATATCACTTTTTGGAACCAACGTGCCACGCTTGCTGCGACGCGTGCTATGAATTTCGTGACAGACAGACGGACGCACACACACACAAACACACACAGCACACGTGACAGACATACTTAGTGGATTATATATAGTAGGTTGAGGGTATTCGGATGAACTAGCGAACGATGCCTCAGCTACCTGCAATACGTGTATAAAAAAGAACCCGCTGGCTTCGGAACTGCGACCAACAAAATCACATTAGGCTACTTAACTACCATGAGTTCGAGAATCATGAAAGCTTCGCTCCTCCTTGATCCGCGTCCCATTAATTTCAATCGTGCTTCAAAGGGTTTGGAACTCGAAAACGCCTTATCCCTCTTTGATTCACGTCCCTAGCGCGAAGTTTGCACTGTACTCCTACTGGAAAGCGCGAATCACTAAAGGTTGGCAAAATGCTTGATGCGCCTCGCGCTACACGTGCCCCGCGGATGCTGTAGGAATTGATGCAACCTACAATTTCTTAGTGGCTTGAAATGCCAAAACGCCGCCGTGGGTTCGAAACGTGACGCAAAGTATGAACGCAGCTTGGAACATTTCGGAATTTTTTTCTTTCAATTTCCCCCAGGGCACATCGTTGCCGGGGAACCCCCAACAGGAGGGTCGTAATTGGTAGCCGGGAGATGTGGGTCTTATTTGGGCTGAGAAAAATTTTAGTTGATTTTTCTTGTTTCACGGACGTTGTAAAGGGGAGGGGTCGTATTTGCTCTTTGTTGGGAAGCGGAAGGAGTCGTATTTGCTCCTTGTTGGGAGGGGGGAGAAGTCATATTTGCTTCCTGTCCCTTTGGGAAAGGTGGCTAATTTTTCGTGATTTTCCTGTTTCATGTGTACTATTATATTAACCCCCTTCCTCGCTTGACAGCGTCCGATGAGGAGGGACAGAGGGCTGGAGGGGGAGGGTCGTACCATCCCCCCCCCCCTTCCCAAAAAAAGGATGGGAGTTGTACGGACTCGACCAAAATCCCCAACCAATGATGTGTCCTGATTTCCCCTTTAGGCCTATTTGGTGTTGTTTGGACCGCGACAGTAAAGCACTCTATTCTTGCGATATCCATCGACTGTACAATAACCATAGAGAAAGCTCTCAGGTCCTCTAAGTTTCAAGAATTGAAGCTTTTTTGGCTGGATCAAGTTTCCATAGTTTGATTTGCTGTCATTGACTTCGTAGTACTTATGTTTGACCATTTGCTTCTTATTGCGTATGTATTTGCCTGGAGCGTCGTAGCTCATAAGTATTGGTTTCGATGTCGCTTCTCCGCTGAACCCCTCTGAGGAAGCACTTTTGTCAAAGTTGAGTACGTTATGATTTCTAATTATAGTGTTTCAGCTCGGCAGGTCTGTCAGTTTGTCATGTCCCATTGCTCTGTTGAAGAGCTGCGTACAAGTTTAACAAATGCTACGAAAGAGACTCACAGCCTATGGGAGGAGAATAAAGATTTGCAGGTTGCTTGATTTTGCCTATGTTATGTCGAAACATGTAACGTTCACTGATGAAATATAGTATCTTTCGATGCGAATGATGAGGCGTTTTAGCGCGGCTGCTTTGGGCGGCAACCTTTTTTGAGGTCAGCCCATTTTTCTTTTTTTAATAGGCGGCGAAACTGTGTCATATGGTATGAATTTGGCGGCGCTCCAAGCACAGCCGCACGGACGCGCCTAATCATCTGCAGCAAACCAAACTGTATGGAGTGCAGTATAGGTTTCACTCGCCATTTGCTAAGATTGGACACTGACAATAGCTGACACCACCAATTAAGGATGTTCATAACAGCAACATCATGCTTAATTGAAGTAGGGAGGGATGAGGAATGCCGGCATATCGAATTCATGTGACATCCACTTCTTTTCTTTCCATCAAAATCAATGGTTTTTCTGCATGACATATAGTAGTAGTGTGTTGGATTGCGTTTCCATTCGACACCCTTTATTTTTTACCATAGCAGCTGACTTTTGCTGAGCGTAGCTACTCTTCTAGCTGGAAAAGAGTTGGATCTTCGATTACTAGTATTGCATGACTGACGTGAAATCAATTTTAGGGGCGATTCGTGAATGATCTAAATGAAATATCTCGGATACAGCAAGCAATTGCGCAACTGGAGAGAGAACATCGCCAAGATCAGTTGCAACATGTGAGTAATTATCATTCACCACTGAGCAAATCCGACTTACAAAGCATAGGAGAGGGAAATGCATAGAGAATCTGTTTGATTTCCCTGACTGATCCCGAATGAGCGTTTCTTGTGGGCTGTGCATGGACCATGCGTGTACTTTTGCATTTAGGCCCGGCATTCAATGACGGAAATGCAAAGACGAGCTTCACAGTTGTACTCAGTTTTAACAACTAAAAGAGAGGAAATCGTCAAGAAATTAAACGACGGAACGAATTTTGTTGCCCTGTTGCAGGTACGGTGGACTAGCGTTTTCCACAGCTTTTTTTATTCAAGGTTTTCGCCATAGTTAGGCCGTATTCGTACTATGCGACACAGGGGATTGGATGAATGCCCTTCAAATGATCAACAAGAGTAGTTGAACTCCTATTCTCGTACTCTTCTATTCTCCCGTGTCGCAAAGTATGAAGTCGGGTTTGCTGTCACTATTTTTTGAGCTGTCTCCGAGATTTTTAGGTGTGGAGCGTTCTTTCCTCACGGCAGGTGCGCTGGAATAGGCGTTGCAAGCAGGGTGACTTACGCCGCATTCGCACCTTAGCATGCGTAGCGCGTCAACTTCATCAGCTCTCTCTGTGCATGCCCTAGTCGACGAATTAGGGAATAGTCTCGTAGTACGCGCGATGACGCGACCGGAAAGTAATGCTACACCTCAGAATTTTAGCATTAGTCCCGTGAAAAGGTCTTCCGTCAGTATTGGGGTAAGGGTGTTGAGGCTGCACATAACAGCAAAAGAGCGCTGCTTCAGCCTCATGCTCCCTACAGCATCGTTTCATCTGTGAGTGGTCACTTACGAAGGAAACAGTGCCGTAGGGGCATGGTTTCCCTCGATGTAGCAGGTTCCGGGCCTTACTGTGTTTCCATGTTATTGTAGGCAAGCCTTTTCGGAAACTAGTTTTGGATTTGCTACCGAGAGTATCTCAAGACGCCTGTTCAGAATCAGCTAATCAGTGATCGCCTTTTTGACTGGAAAAATCGCCAGAAATTGGCACAGGTTGGTGTGCCGTTTGACAACCGAGACGTGACGCTAGATGAGATACAGATGGAGTGAGTGCTTTTGAAAATGTTCAACTTAAAACAAAGGCTTGGCAAATCTCAAACCTCAACTAGATCTCCGGTTTGATGGGATATTTCTCCAGTTGAGGCCATAGGAGCCATTCGTGCAAAAATCGAGAAAGTCGATCCTTTTGACAGGTTCGAGTTTCTCGCGGAGCAAAACTGGCAGCTGCACATGTTCGCTAGTTGGACACTGGATCTTCTAACAAGAGGTGAGTTTTTTCACTGAAACATACTATTTGATGAAAGGGATTCGACATCTGCTTCACTTGATGCACAGACTGAGCTGCATTTCCTAACGAGCGTAACACTGCCTTCTCCCAAGTTCATTCATGAAATAATCTGGATTGGAGTCCTTGATTTGAGAGCTCGCTTCCGCTTCGGTCTTCTCGTACGCCAAGACTTTTGATTAATAGCTTATGGCTCTGATGAATTTTGGTTTTGAAACTGCGCTCATTCAGTAATTTGGCCCGATATTCATACCTGACTCTTCGCCCCAAGATGCACAATTTCTGTCGAAATCGAATCAATCGATAAAACCTAGGATTCCGGCTTTTAAGTCCTGTTGAGCCCGACGCTTTCCGCATTCTTCCCGGTTCCGATTTTCCGACCGCTCTTTCCAGAGTTGCAATGCGGCTTTGACTTCACCGACTTGGCCCACGTTACACCCGTTGCGGTACCGTTTATTGCAGTCCTCTGCTCACTTCACTCACTTTCAAACATCTAGGTTCGACTCCATGGTATTATGTCGGTACGACAAGTGTACCTCAAGGCTCAGCTCACTTCATGTGTTCCTGACCGATGCATTGTTGATGCCCATCGTTGACAATCCGTTAGAAGTTCAGGACCACAGATCAACGACAACCATGCTCATTCGACTGCTTCGAACCTGACAACATTGGCTGATCAACTTACAAAGTTGCTGTTCATGCTGATTTCGCAAAGTTTTGTGGTTTCAGTACAACCAGAACCTGTGCTGAAGACGCAACACAAGTTTGTCACAGAGGTAGGGAGAAAAATCGCTTCTTAATTATGATTTTTTTTGATAAGAAATGTTTCGCGCGTTGTAAATAAGGCAGTGTTCAGAAATCACGATGATGCGCGTCGTCGTGCTGCAATCGCAACGACGCTCCGACACTATAGACACGTATGCAGCCTCAAACGGCAGTCGATGGGCACTGGCCGCTAGTGCTTTGCGGGAGAGTATAGAAAAACAGGAGGGACCAGCTTGTGTCAGCGCCTATACTCCTGTCATCGTATAGTCTTTCGCGCACAAACAGCCTGCTCCGATTACGTCTGCGGCTGCGTCCGCGTCGATAGTAATGGACCGCTCCTGCGACTATAGCACGTCAACGCGCGCCGCTAATTCTGAATGCTGTCGTGAAGTTCCTCTTACTCTGGAGTCATTAGAGCCCTTTGGCAAGTGTAAGTGACTGAATTTTCAGAGCGCGTTCAAACTTCGCGATCGCGCGATCGGATGGGGGGCCATCCGATCGAACGATCGTGACGGGAGGCGCTCCCTCGCCAAACATCGTAAAATTCAAAAGGGGTGCGTTCATGCACAGTGAACACATTCCTGCATCTCTGTGCTTTCTTTGAAAGGGAAATAATGAAGTGCCAGTTGAAAGGGAAATGTAGAAAAACCCAACTGAAAAAACTCATAGCGTGTTTGCATAGAAAGATATCAGAAATCGGAAAAGAAGAACAGAAATGCAGGAATGTGCTCACAGCGTATGAGCTTCTGAATTTTGCGGCGGTTGGCGTTGGAGCGCCCGTGGTTGCATCGCTCGATCGGATGCGCGATCACGAATTGAACGCGACCTTATCATGATTGGAAATGTTTTAGGTTCGTTTGCTGATTGGGGATAAATTGGGCATCCGACAGCATCTGGTGAACACGAATGTCACCGTCAAAATTATTGCAGAGGAAGAGGCTAAGCTACTCAGTGCAACTCAAATGAATCACAAAGACATGTTAGTTTTTCATATATATAAACTCGTTTCCGGTGGATTCTGGATGTTCAAACATATTGATCATCACATATTGATTTTGTAAAGTGCAGTATCATAGACTATTTGCTTTTTGAAAAGGTGAAGGATCTTCATTTTTTGACGAACAGTTTCTCCATTCAACCCAGCAATAGTCTCAAGTTTCAGTAAGACTGTGGGAAGTATCAGTAATGACTATGAGAAAATGACAATGGACGAAAGAGGTCATATGGCTGCTAAATTCAACAATTCGGTAAGTAATCAACTAAAAAGACTTACTCTGTATTTGTTCAACGGAAGATTGGTAATTTCTCCAGAAACTGACGCGCATAGCACATCGGAAGCCCCCACCTAAAGGAACAGCAGCAGATATGAAATGCGCCGTCAGTGCTCAAGCAGCTACCGATCAGAAATACGCTCTTCTTTTTCATATAAGCCCATTTCAGCTCGGAACTCTCGGAAAAGTGAGTGCTATCGATTTGAAGTTCTGATTTCAACTGTTCGTTAGTTAGCTGTAAGAAGAGTGGTTCGTATTGTAACAAGTCATTGTAGATACATACTGACGTATTCGCCATCTTTGTCAGCAAGTATAGTGCGTGAAGGTGTCGTTATATTGCAAAAATTCCAGAAGTTGTCCAAGCATTACGAAGTTGCGACTTCCTGGCTAGTAGCTGTTTGGGGATTCGTGGTATTTAACTTCAGTAGTTGATCTGTTCTCTAAGAAAACATGAGAGTGAATGAAAGTGAAGTTTGGGTGAATGTGAAGTGAAGAGCGAGTACCATTTCGACGTTAATGTTTAGTTCGACGTATGGACATTATCGCTTCCACTCATGGTAACAGTACACGGTTCGCAGGACTGCGATGCACAAGGAGCGATTGTTTGGCACCGTGCATTCGCTTCAGTGGTGGGAAAGTTTTCGGTCGTAAGGGGGATCTTTTTTGACGCATACCTCTTCAAAAGAAGAAACTGGTATTTGTAGTCACGCTCACCTGGTACCACCGATATCACTGCGGTGGCATGGAAGGATCTTGGCCACGTTCTTCGCCACAAGTTCACGTTAGTTTCTTGCATGCTTAGAGAATTTTTACTTTCCATCATGCTGATTGCGAATGTGAAAGTTTTCGTTGGTATACGAGAATTTCTTCAAATATTGAAGTTCGCGACGGTGTCACCTTAAAGACAGTACCCGTGCTCGAGTATTTTGCAAGCGTCGTTCCTTATACATGAGGCTGGCCCTTGATCTCAAGGATTATCCACTTCTGCGCCTCCAGAGTGAATAACAAAGGGGCTGCTGCCCTCTTAAGTGGCAGCCCTGACACCTCCTCAGTTTTCCCGCCCACCAAAATTGGAGGGCTTTCTGTCGCGAATACATGGGGGCCTCTCGATCTATTTTAAGGACATAGGTTTTTGATCCGCTAGAAGTTTCCAATGAACTGCCGATAAAGTGATAGAGTAGCTAATATATTGGATGAAACTGCAAAATTCGAAGAAATTGAGCCTGTCCTCAGAACCCAGGCAGGTTTGAGCCTTATAGGCAAGGGGGGGGGGTCTAGGACGATCAGAAAATTTAGCTCTTCTGTTGAAATGCCGTTGTCTCAAATGAAAGGAATACAAATGTCTGATGAAGGCTTTGTGTTGAAGGTTGTTCACTGGAGCACGTCGACCATTATCTGATGCAGACCTTAACTACCTCTCTGAAAAATTGCTTGTTCCGAACGTTCCTGATCAAAAACCAATCACCTTTCACCGCTTCGCGAAGGTTTGTTTTACCAAGCCCTTTGGAGACAGGTGGTTCTTCTTCAGCCTATATAATTGTCTTTTGTCACTTTGGTACACTTTTTCGTGTCACATCTTCTTTGGAGATGAACATGGAGATTTGTTGCAGCAAAATCTCCGCGATGATGTCTCTTTTTCGTTTTGGGAATGGTTTTTTGCAATTATGCAGCTCATCAAGCAAAAGCTACTGAAATTCTGGGATGAAGGTAAGTAACACAGCTAGAAATGGCACTTTGCCATCGCAAGCTTCAGTGAGTGAAAGGAATTTCGCGCTCTGATATTGCAAGTTTCAGGGTGGTTGGTGGGATTTATATCAAAGCATGACGCTTCACAATCCATGATGATGTCAAACCATCCAACATTTTTGTTACGATTCAGCGATACGCAGACAGGCGCAGTAAGCATCGGATTTGTGTGTGAGGATGATGATGGTCAAAAAGGTACATGTTCACAATATTGGAGCCGATTTGCATTTTCTCATTTAATGGCACATTTCATCACTGATAGAAGTGACTGATAGAAGTAGGCAATGAGCGGAGTGTATTGGGTTGGCTCATAAGTAATAGCGTTTTTTCTCACACAAGTTTTTACATGAAAGTGACAATTGTTCCCAATGTGTTCTACATTGTTTAATGGACGATTATCTGTTCTATAAGAGAGTATTCTTGCCTCCCTACTGATTTTCGATTTTTATTTCATTGAACTGGAATGTAGGGTCGACACAAAAGTGAGTTTCGACAACAGCTTTTTGCACTTTATCTCAGCTTTCATATTATAGAAGAAGCTCAAGGCTTACGATATTCATGTGGCCACGAAAAGACGCTTCTTATGACAGCTTGAACTTGGTTCAAGTGATCAAGAGATAGGAATTCGGACCTTGTGATGTGCATTGCATGGGGGTCCTCTTGAGAAGCGACTGCCTGCGGAACCTTCTACACTTTTGAGTGTCCAACATCAACAAGGGAAATGCTTGATAATGACAAAGAAGTATTTCATGATCTCTGACGATCAATTAATCTTTGGCATAAATCTCCAAGATTAAGGTATTTTAGTAAGCTCTCAGTTGGGCTCAGTAGGGCAATAGGTTGGATGATGTCTGTGAGGTCGAGATGGGAATATTCTAATAAATTTAAACCATTGTAAGCATTCCTAGGAGACATAGCCTCCTGGCCGTATACTTAACAACTTGGCGTGTGCGGTTTTAGCCTTTTAACTAGAATTAGGCTGTCGAAAATGCTCAATTTCCTCGACCTAACACTCCAGGTTGAGCACTTGAATATTTGTGGAGAGAGGACCGTGGAAAGAATCAGGAGCACTTATCGTATAGAACGAGGAATTCTCTGCAAAACGGTTTGAAACTCAATGGCAAAATTTCTTATCTCCAGCTATTTCGAGTGAGAAAAAAGCGCCCTTACTCATGAACCGACTCAGTGTTTCAGGACCCCCTGCCTTCCCTTGCAGCTAGTCTCCCGCTAGATCGTTTACCAGTCAACTAGTGAAAGTGACGTCAATAGAGGAAAATAAGTGCATCGTTGATAGAAGATTTCAACAAAAAAGTAGCTGTGTTATTGCAGAAGATGTACGAGAACAGGTACTCCTACAGAGTTCCTTTTGTACGAGAACAGGTACTCCTTCAGAGTTCCTTTATTTCCGCAATGTTCTTTAACATCTTCTGAAATCCTCTGGAATCATCTTTTTGTCTTCATTATTTTCCTTCCCTTATTTTTGTCAGGCTATTTGGCAATCACCCTTGTTTGAGCACCCCCTTGTTTTGGCTTCCATGGAATGTGCCTTTAAGTGGCACACATTTGTCGCGGATTAATGCAGAAGAAGTCAGTATGAGTCGTTCTAGTACCATTTCATCTGGCACCGTTTTCTATCAAGGATCTTGACCAGCTTTCTCTAGCTCAACGCATTGCCAGTTGCCCTCAACTGAAGGAGATTAAGTAAGTCATTATTTGGTCCTCCGTTGTCACTTCTTCTTTTGAACAGCATTTGAACGGAACTTTGAAATCGATCATATCTTGCATTTGTCATGAATTTGCATGTTTCTAGTTTCACATGAATTCTCGTTCTCGCTCAGTCCTTATTTTCAATTATGTCTTCTAGAGGCTCAGTCCACGATTAAATTCAGATATCTTTATCCTCACATGGACAAGGATGAGATGCTGCGGTATTTCGACAGCGAGGAGCGCAATCGCGGTGGACCAGATAGTCCAACGGGATACATCCAGTCTGAAATAGTAATGGTCGCGAAGACTACTAAGTTAGTGAACTTCTTGCCTAGAACTGTGTATTGGGAGCGAATTTTTATGATTTATCGCGGGATATCGTACTTTATCAGTAAGCCGTCGTCGTCTTCGGTTCTCAGTGGTGGAGATTCACCGTCGCCTCTTTCTGTGCAATCAAAGCTGGACTGGTCTCCTGGGGAAGTGATCCAACCGATTCAATCGATGGATGTGTGAGTTTTCACGTTTTGAATATTTTTAATGGAACGGTAGAAGTTGTGGAAATGACTGTTACGTAGTAGACATTATCCTCAACTTCGTCATGTATTCATCCGACTTCACTCATGTGCTTTCGGATAGCTGATTTCTTTCCGTAGTCTTGAATGTGACCGTGAGTATGAGCATTTGATGAAGAAAAAAAATGTTCTGTCATTTCAGCAGTGACGATCTCGCATCGATGCTATCATCGTCTGGCCTCGATAGCTGCAGTGGTCAAGGGGACGTCGAATCACTTCTCGGCCCTGGTTTCAGGCCACAGTTACCTTCTCAACCTCTGCAGCATATTGACTTGTCGTTCGTTGACTCTTATAGTAATCCGGCGTTCTATCGGCATGACTAGGAGAGTGCCAGCATGTCTTCGACCGTTGTGATAATGTACGTGTCACAAACAGAGGATGCTGTTTATAAGATGCTCTTTGGGTGGGGCATGATCCTTTCTTTCCCAGGTGGTCTGCACCTGAGAAGGTTCGATTCGCGGCACCATGCGCGAACCATATAGCATTCTTCTTAGTTGCCTTGACACAGCACTTTGGCGACAAATCAGTGGTGTCATGGTAGACAGCGCCCTACTGTTTATTTGACGGCTTTATCTCAAGAACTTTGACAAGGGGTTTTTTTTCCTTCAATTCAGATTTAGAGGATCACCTCGAGTAATTTCAAAACTTGAATGAGAGAAATTAAGCGGCTGACGTTTGAGCTTTTCCGAGCTGACAGCGTTCACACTTTGCGATGACGACCTCGACGCGCTACACCTGTAAAAGCGCAGCCAACGCTGCCACAGCGGCCCATGCCAGTCAATACGAAACTGCGTTATTAGGCGACGCCCACCCTACAGAACCCAATATTCTGTCAGTATACATCGAGCGGCGTCGATGGATTCCCCTCTGCGGCTGCGTTCGCGTCTAAACCCTTGGAGCGCTGTTGCAATTGTAACGCGTTACAGCGAGTTGTGGCGAATTCTGAACGAAGCGTAAGGCCGTGAAAGGAAACCGTGTGATACTTGGGCTGCGGTCCAATTTGATTGAATAAGAAAGTACTGTGACTGTTAGCTACATGTACTGGCTCGGCGATGCGGGAAAACCCTCCTCCCCGCCCTCAAAGTACCCTGGTCTGTGCCACGCATCCTACAATATTCTTGTTCCTACAGTAACGAGGTTCTTTTCGAGTTGAAAGTTCTTTATATTCTTGTGCTTCAATACATATGTGCTATCGTCATCATCGAAATCGTGCTCGTTACTTTTTTTTTCTTCCCCACTAAATGTACTTATGGATTTTCGGAATATAAGTCAGTGTTAACATAATCCCGAAATTTTCAATCTTCAAAAAATTTTGTGAGAACTCTGGGTTCTTAATATTTCGTGGTCAAAGGGAGTTTTTCAGGAATCTAGGCAACTGGTTGCTTCGTTGCAATATATCGTCGATCTTTTGCTCTTCTGTTCTCTCACATATCTTCAATTATGCTTTATTTTTGCCATAAGTCTTCTAATGCTGACAGATCTGATCTTTTGTTTGAAAACGCATTCTGAGAGAAGATCTCTTTAAATTTCACACTTTGTCTAGTCTTATAAGCAGTTTAGAGCAAAAATGAGAGGTTCTATAAATTGTATATGTTTGCTGCCGTGATACGTTCCATGATTCGTACTTCTAATTGTGCATCAGAAATAAACATTTGGAAAATGATTTTCACTTTGAACAACACATTTAGAATGTGTAGTCCGAAACTCAACCGGGACGGGGCAGGAAGATTGACTATGTTGCTGCACTTCATGGTCATGTATGACCTCACTTGGCAAAGTTCAGTCTTCAGAATATTGCAGAATCTTACTGGCAAGTTCTAGCGTACCATCCTTGTAATTCTGATTTGGTATTGTCTGGGAGCTACTCGCTTTGAGCGCTGAAGCTGCCTCTACGAGGGAGAAAGTCGATGATTAGGAAGTGGCTGAAAGCGTATCCGGGCTTATTCCACTCGTAGCCGACAAAGTTGTGACTCCTGGAACTGACAGTTTAGTGAAGCACTGGGCAGAGTGGATCGTGATTGTACTCTTTATCGCTGACTGACATTGTTCGTATCGTCGCAATCAGTGGAGGTGGTTTTAAGAGGGATGAAATGAGCCCACGGCGGCGTTTCCTCAACTGGTTGTGTTCTTGCTGAATCGATCACTAACCTACCACCATTGGTAGAGCTCCCTCCTGACAACGCCTGACTGCTTACGACTTTATCAACTATATTTGAGATCAAAAAAATTTCAGTTCATAGGAAGTTTAATCCTTTGAAAGAAGTGAAGTTTGCAGGAAGATTTCTTTACCAATTCAATAGAAGTGCTGTGATCTTATTATAGTGTTTATAAATTGTTAATCTTTCTTGTACAGGTATTTTCACTATTATTTGTATTATCGTTATAACTGCCTCCAAGTTGAACTGGACTGCATGTTCAATAATTTTATCGAAGCTCGTTGGAGGTGCTTTTCTATGTGCCCTATTTTCTGCAGTGTAAGGGGCAACAGCCTTTTTTTTGTCTTTTTGCGTGTTTCGATTTTCTAATTGGTTTTCAAGCACTTCTTATTCAATATAGTCACATTCACAGATATAAGAACAAGCAAAAAACACAGAAGAAAAGTCTGAAAAGAAAAATCGTCCGTGGCTCTCGAGGCGATGGTATGTCCTCTAGACGGATATTCCTTACAGCGCAGAAAATGTATGTGATTTACATCGTTGCATTGCTCATCTACAGCTTTCGTCTGGTTTCATCCACTGGCATTCGGAAGAAAACCCGTCGTTCGTTGTTGTCGTCACCTCCAGCCCATTGATGTGTCACGACGTCGTCACCAGTGTAGAAGAGTTTTGCTGGACGAATCACTTTTCTGAACAGCAATATCACTTCATGTCATCCAGCTCATACTTCAAATCTTTGTGTTTATCCTAGCCAAAATCACGGAAGAAAAGAAAAGGAGTCGCGTTTTCGTTTTAACCTTGTAGGCTAACCGGAAATCTTATGAGACAAGATATTTATGAGAATATGCTGCTGCACTCCGCATCTGTCAGACGCGGTGGGCATTGCTGGTACCTCATTTGAGCATGGAGTGGAACGGCTCAAAAATTGAAGCGATAAAGCCATTGATCTATCAATTTCCTGGTTGCGGACGCACTCTAGTTCCATTCAGTATCGTGATAACTGATTGAATGCGATGTGGCCTGTACAATGACTTGCGGGGAACAACCGATGTACAAGTGAGTGTTCTCCTTCTCCCACCCCGCCTCCCAAGGAAAGCGAATAGGTACCAAGACGGTACCTATTCGCTTTCTTTGGGAAGAGGAAGGCTTGATTGGCTGGAGCAGGAACCGATCTGGGTTCACGGGCTTCCGCGCGGTAAGCGGACCATTTGGCTCCGAACTAATTGCGCGTTGTGTCGGTATGGGACAACTATCATTTTGTCTTGTGATGAGCAAAGACATGCTTACAATTGTACCAAAAAATTATCTTAGTCAAAGCGCAGCCACCACCACGTTCAAGTGATGTACGCAGCCAAGCATACCGCACATGGATTATAACTGGCTATTTTTTAGCGCGAGTATTTGTTCAGAAACTTGGGTTCAGCTTTAATGCCTCTGTGTTCAAGTCTAGATCGAAAAGGCAACCTCTATGGCCCATCCACGAACAACTTCCGTCAGTTGCTTTGCCTAGGCTGACGATGCACTCATATGCCAACTTCTCAAATTATTCACAATCTTGTGACCAGCAAAGTGAATCCCATATGAGTTGTATTCCTGGGTGACCAAACTGCCTCCTATCTCTTTATTTCGTGAGCAATGTCCAACTGAAAACTGGCCCGGATTTCTACTCCTTTGCAGATCTGACAAGGGAGGTCGTTCAGGCCGTGGTGTAGGCTTCTTTCAAAACGTTTGTTGCATGTTGTAGGGGTCCATGCGGGACCATAGCGATGGGGGTTCATTTTTGCTTAAACGATGTTCTGGAATGTCAAAACAAGGTCGAAAACAAATTCGAAAAAGAATGGGGCTTTTTAAACCACCTTGTTCGCCTCTGTTCTAGCTGTAGCGTTGACAGGGTATAGTATGTAGGTATCCTTTAGGTAGGCATGAAAAACAGCAGCAAAATAAGGTCAAATTCCAAATGGTCTTACTTGGCATGCGGTGAGCTGCTTGGAGTTTTTCCGGTCATCTGCGTTTTCTCTTCAACAAGTCTTGTAGGTCTCTTGTGCATACTTTGTGGTCTCTGTGCATCTCCGTGGCCGAAGGTGGCGGAATGGTCTGTGGTGGAATAGTGGCGAAGCGGCTCGTCGCTTCGAGGGTTTATGGATCGGATCCCTTACCGACACAGTTTTTGCATTTTTTCACATCTTTTGCCTCTTGGTATCCTGTATGCCCATAATGTGATGACCCGGATATACGCCATTTTGAAGGCACATTCCATGCGGGAAACGGTCATAAATAGGCTTCACTCAATTATCTACGCTTCCGCGACAATACTGTCAGAAAACTCTTCATGAAAACCTCTGGGATACGGCGGTTATTCCGATGCTCTGCTTCAATAACACACAGACACTCATTTTTTGAAATGGCAAAATGTGGTTCGCTAATTTGCGTGGCAAAGGCTTCTCGTGCTCACCATCATTGGCCAGTCTGCGCATGCGGGCCGATCCCTGGCCAGTATGGCGGTATGGCGCTAGACGGCCTCCGCAGCAAAAACAAGTATCTTGAACCGTGATCAGCGACCATTCAATTACCCCTACGTATGAGTTACAACCATTGAGAAAAATTTCCACCGGGAGCTTTTTGTTTATGATGCACGGCCATGTCTCCAGCTTGTGGCTATCAGCCCCCCCCCCCCCCCCCTCCCCAGGAGTCGCTATCCAAATCGTTAAGGAAACTTTTCATCTTGCGTAATATGGCAGACCAGAATAAAAACTACACAAAAAAATGACGCATCATACACTGCACTACCTCTCATACCATTTGATATGAGAAACAAAAACCTTTCTGCGACGGCAAGTGGTAACGAGCTCTTTGTCGTGAAAGCATAGACAGGTTAAAAGTGAAGAAGATCGAGGATGCACGATTTAGTGGCCTCCGAAGTTAGCAAGATGTTTTTATGAAGACCTACTGCAAGTAGAGGCGGCAAAAATGTAAAAATTCTGCGGTTCCTCTCCAGGGAGAGGGATACTCAATGGAGTTTTCGCCTGTCACTGCCATCCAAATGGTCAGGCCCATGGCCACAAAAAAAAAACTCCGGAAAATTTTTTCGCTGAAAACCTCTTATATAGGGGTAATCAATTGGCTCCTGATCGCGATTCTGACAATATTTCATGGTCCGCCGACGTGAT